CTTTAGACCCTTAGGTAGGATGTTGATTCTGACTCGTCCCTTTAAAGGGGCACTGAAGTCATTTTTGGAAAAGGTCGTTTTTGATCTTATATTATTTAAAATGTGCTAGTTCTCACATTTACCAAGTCCTATATTACAAAACCACCTATTCATTTCAGGGCAAGAGAAAAACATGTGAACTCTTTTTTTCTTGCGGACTACACTGTGTGGACCAATGAAAGCCCCACAATACGCGCAGATTCCTAGTGATTTTGTTATAACTCGTTTCGAAGAGAGTCTGATAGGTACACATTCAGATAAGACTCCTCTTTTTCACCGCGGGGGAGCCATTGCTTGCAACTCGCCGACAAGCGCCCTTGTCGACCACTTCACTCGGAAGTAAATTCTTCCCAAAAAGGGCGTGTCGCGATCTTTGAACACACTTTTAACGAGGCAATAAGCTATGCACGGTTGTGGTTTCGGGTTTGTTGGGCTGCTTAGAGCGTCTAGATTGAGTTGTCACCACAAAAGGACAATCTCGGAATCAACTTCAGTGCCTCTTTAAGCCTCTTTTTAAAGGCTTAAAGGCAACAATTTTAACTTAAAAAGAATTTGCAGATTTTAATTTTTACTTTATTTATCTTAGCAAAAGGAATGGAAAAATTTGTCTTACTTGACCGTGTCAGTCTTTTCAAATATTGTGATTCCGTTGCGTAATAGCAAAGAAAAAAACAAAAATATTTCACGATTCGCAGCCGCGCGGTAGCGTCCGTGGAAACTGAGGCGTGAAGCACTATGGATAAAATGTAATAAGTTGGCAAGATGTGCCATTATGGGCTCAGTCTAATGCTATTTTGCTATGTTTCACTGGTGCCATCTGCCCAAGGTGAAAAAAAAACTGTTTGTCCCTGTTGCTACTACAGTCGCCGACCGTTTTTCCAGACTCCGATAATTCAGACTTGTTCGATATTTTGGAGCTAAAGGCGGAACCGCGACTTACCCCATAGAAATAGTGCATATTCATGACCAATGTTTCGGACAAAGTTCGGAAGTTCGATTATTCGGACAAAATTGTTGCGAGCGGTCAGCGGAAAACACCATTGAGAAGCGGCCATTTTGAATTTTATGTTGCTGCAAATGGATTGGCGTGGTTTGGCAGCGCTACTTGAGTACTCCTGAGTCCTACCGCTAGGTGACGCTATGCTAGCCCTTTTTTTCCATTTAGCTGCACATCATCATCATCATCGTCATTATTATCATTTTGCTTTGTTTTTTCATTCCTTCGTGTCGCCAGTTGCCATTTTGCGCTCGTGGATTTGCGCATTTCATCTCGTTCAAACAACGCTCGCTTGGACGTCATGGCCCCGTCTGTTCTTCTGCCGACGCAATGTGTTGTTAAGAAGAGCAGAAAGTACTCGACCATAACGCTAGAAAAGAAGGCTGTGATTCTCAAGCTAACAGAAAGTTGCCGAACGCAAACGGAGGCATAACTTGAAGCAAGGCACTATTTACGGCTTTTTTAAGCCCGCTTGGAAGTAATAAAGGCAAGTTTTTCAATCTGCAGATTTTTCGGACTGCTCTATTATTCGGACGTTTTTTTCGGTCCCTGCGAAGTCCGAATAATCGGTCGGCGAGTGAACATCAGTCGAACTTCCTTGCGGAAAGGAAGCTCTCCGCCCCCCCTCCCCCTCCACATCGCAAGGTCACCATGCGAATCGCAAACAGAGGCTGCGCACGATGGAGGCTCTGAAAGAGAACCCAACTGGATCCTTCCTCTGGCCATTGCGTGTCACTGTGTACGTGACTCGAACGACGGTGTATGAGTTGAGAGTGGTTTGGATGCGTCCAAAATGTCAATTGCTTAACTTTCTTTTTTCCAAAGAATTAACGCGTGCAGGCAAAATTGGTTTTCAGTTCTTTAATCCAGACATGACAGGGAACAACTACCACAATCGTTTTATCGAAGTCCAAACATTGTTGCACGGCCCCCTTAAATGTGTAGGATCTGCAGCATTCCATATTTACTCGAGTAATGAGGCTCTTTGAATGAACAAAGCCTGCGCGTCTGTTTTTGTCTCTGAGCATGCGAATACTCAATCGTCGCTATCTACAGAATCAACACCGCAACTTGCGGAACAGAGATGACGTCCTCACGAAAAAATCAGTATCTGGGCACACTGCGTTTTCGCCGCATATTGGATTCTGGACTCCGTCCTTTGGTACATTTTTCGCATGGGACACCACGATTGACAGCATGTGTGCCGTTGGGGAAAGTAGACACACGGGTCTTGTTCATTAATAGTCTGTCTGTTGAGTGAATACGCTAACTGTTCCAGTGTAAAGTCTCAACTTTGACCTACTTTAAATCTGCTTTTCCGATTCGGAGTTCGGGGTCGGTTTTCGGCATCATTCACACTCAAACTGTATGGGAAAATTGTTACATTCGTTCACACTTCTAACTTTCAGCGACGTCTGTCTAATCACCGGTGTCATACCTGGAGCGCGCCTCCGTCTGGCACGTTTACTGCGTCCTCGCTCGTGGTTCCTCAATCTCTGCCCGATGATTTCACGCTCGCATCAAGCCGTTGCCTGCCGTGAGCCCAGTGGCGTCGCAGTGGTGGTGGCAGATGGGGCAGATGCCTGATCTGCTGTGGGTCGCTCTCCAGCTTGACGGTTCACGCAAGCTTCGGCTTCCGGGAGTTGGGACGCTGCAACGAAAGTGGCACTTGCGTTCGCTTGTCGCCTTTTTTGCCGGAACTCCTACGACCAACTGTTGGAATCGTGACGATGACAACATGACACGTCGGCTCCCGTGACGCCGTTTGTTGCCATTTTGGGACCTCTTGCGATGCAAAGGCGGTATAGGAGACTAAACATACCAGTTAGAGGCTCGTTCCAGGCATCGCACCGCCGGTCCAACCTTGTCACACATGTTCTGTCTCGTGATGCCACGGTGCTCACGTGACGTGGTCGGTGTGACGGTCGTCACGTAACGTCATAAGGTCACATGACACTGATGTCAAGTGTTTCTGTCATCACATTGTCACGTGATGGGGCTGGCATCATGTTGCACTGCCACGTCATGGTGGAACCGTGATGTGGCACTGTGACATTCCGTCACGCGACACCATAGCTTGACGTGACTTCATCAGGTGCCACCACAACGCGACTACATGTGGCACTGATGTCACGTGACACTGACAGCACGGTACTACATGACCTGATGTGGCACTATGATGTCACAGTGAATCTCTAAGTACGAGACACTTAGAGTGCCTTTGTGATATGCCAAAAGGTGGGCAGTTCTTTAGTTTAAGTCGGGAAACCACCTTAAAGGGGCCCTGCAAGCACTTTTTTACTGGTTTTTAGTTTGCACCAAACCTGAGCGCACTGACCGTAGTAACTTAATGTAACTTTTCTTTTCTCGAATTTCGCTTTATTTTAGAAGTTATAGTCAAATTAAAATTACAAAAACAAGCAAAAAATAACCTCCCTCATGACGTCCTTGGTTGCTTGAGTGGCCGTGAACTAGAGGAGGGATAGTGAGCTCAGCGAGTGCTCACGGCTGCCGCACTTCGTGTCGACGGCGCGAGAGGGCGCCACTAAGGCGTGTTCTGGATAGGCTGTATACAGCGGGCAGCCAGAGCGGCTCTCATTGCATTTGCTGCGCGATTAAACACTAATTCGGCATGGCACTTCATTGGCCACAAACGACAGCAAACACAGGGTAAAGATTAGTTCAGAATGGGAGCCACTTCGCGCTGCCATACCGCGAAATGGCCAAAACGCAAGACAAACCTACTCGCTGAAGGCCTTCGGAACGCTTGGAGCCGGTCAGATCCTCCAGTCCGTAAACGACCGCAGCGCCGCCGCGTACATCCGGGGCCTTTCCGTGTCGGCTCCTGATCCCACTACTCTTTTCTAGTATGCGCCGCCTTTTCCACCGCTTGGTGGCGGGTACGTCGATGCGTCATTTCTTGTTTCCGTACTTCATAAACTGCATTTCTTTCTTTTCTGATCTAAAATACTGAACAAAAACTACTTTTAGAAATAATTGAAACGGTTCGCGCCACTTATATTTTGTATTTTGGCTAAAGAAAAGCTTTGAGCGGCTCTGACCAGTAGTAAGCCAAGGACCAAAGACGTCGCATTTTGCGCGCTTTCGGTACCGCGGGTCGCCCCCGTCGGTGGAGGAGGTTTCCGCGTCGCCCGGTTAAAATATGATGCACTGATATCTAGTTACTCTCTCCGTGCGCGCTGGCTTGCCCGAACTCCGAGGGACGTGGAAACCGCAAAAAAGGTAGACGCTTAAATATGATTGCAGGGCCCCTTTAAAATTGCAATTTTTGAGAGAAAAAACTACATTTCCTATTTTTATGTGTGGTGGTTCAACAACTAATAGTGTATACGCCTGCAAATTTTCATTGCAATATCTGGGGTATTTAGGGAGGAATAAAACATTTTTGGTAAGCCAGCGATGCAAAATCACATGTTTTTGAAATGTGGAACTTCTGTTTCCTATTTTCAAACTGCTGTAGCTTTGCACCGGTATTCCCTAGAATGATGATCATGCTCTCGTTGCAAAGAGCATTTCTTCACAGCTTCACTACATTAAAGGGGCTGTGCAACGACATTGGGTAGGAATATTTCTTACTTT